TTGTAATTTTAAGACATTGTTTTTTGATGTCATTGCAAACCTTTCCTTCTTCTATCATTAATTCTTTAAATGTACTAAAGGATGCTGCCCATCGTGGAGATTTCTATCATATTCGGTGACTATGAATCCTTTAGAAAGTGTTGAACCAAAATCTCCATATTATGTTTCAACATTAATTAAGGTTGAGTTGTTTTGATATAATACTAAATGGTTTCCAAGTTGTGTTGGCCTGAGACTACTCCTCGGAGAGTCTTTAGCAGGGACCTTTGTAAACAAGTGTGTTTAAGTTTCATTTTGTGAACTTACATGACAATGGAGAAAGATGACACAGACCTGCTCTCAGACTTACCCTCCTAAGATCCTCATTCCCATCAGCTTTTTTTTTATTGACAAAACATTCAAAGTAGTATTGAATTAACAAGCAGTATGCTGCCCACAAATATAATTCTGTTAAATTATTAATCTTAAATCTCATAATCCTGTCTGAATCCAGTGATTCAATCACATGAAATTCATTAGCATCCCACCATTAAAAATACCATTGTGCAGTCTTAAGTTTCATTAATCATACTTTTCATGGAAATCTTTCATACTTTACAGTGCTCTCTGCTGCTCTCAAATTTCTCAGATATAATAAAACTCAACTTGGACCATACCGTGAGATGTGGTTTTATCTATAAGAGACAAGTCTAAAACTGAATCTAAGTATTTGACTTGATAATCTATTAAAAATCCATTTGAACGAGAATCTTTCAGCCTGCAAATACAAATTGTGTAGTTTCTAGAAAGTTATAACTACAACTGAACCTTGTGATGATTCTTTATTTGAAAAATTAAATTTTGTTTCCTCAGGCCATGTCTTTGCAGTTGGTCTGTCAACTACGAAATCTGATTGCAGTGAAACTTCAGCCAATCAGGTAGCTAGGTCTTTGTTTAAGAAGGTTGCTAGAGCGGAATGCATCTATTTATTTGTCAATGATTTGTGAACAATTGTTTATTTTGTTCTTGTTTTAACACTTACATTTCTCACTATTCTCACTTTTGTTGCAGTTCAAGAAAATGGCAATTGACCGATTTAACACAACTGTTATCCTTTCACATGTTTCTCCTGGACCTACGTAAGTGGACACGCTGCATAAGCAATGTATTCCTTTAATAAAATATTGATTTATGAAGAGTGATTGAGAATTGAAAAAATTCAGTTTGTACTTGCGGATTTCTGTTTTGTTTACGTGAGTTCAAGATTTTCCCGTGAGTTCAAAACTTTCTGATAAATTCAAATTTTTGCATGCTGTTTGTGACAAACGTTTCTCTTAGATCAAAACTTTCCTGTTTGTTCAAAAATATTCCATCAGTTGACATATTTCACATTATTTAAGAACGTTGAAAACTTTCCTTTCAATTCGAATCTTTATTTTGTGCATTCAAAATTTTTAAAAAGTATAAAACTTTCTTCTTAGTTACTTGAAAATTAATTGGAATTAACCTGGTGTTTTTCTCAGCAGACGTACATATTTTTGCTTTTTAGCCCTGATACTCAGGCTTACATAAAGAGATTGGAAGATGAAAGACGTGAAAAAGAAAGAGGAAAAGGCAAAGACAACAGATCATTCCTTCAAAATATGTAAGTGACAGTTTTCGAAGAAAAGTTGTCTTTAAAATATCCTGGTTTGTCCCTCATATTCCTTTATGTTCATTCGTTTAGTGGATGTACATCATTCCTCTGGTGATATTTGTGATGATGTCTAACCAAGAACCCTGCCGGAGCTGGTGGTGATGGGGTTCCGGGAGGTGGATCTGCATCGGCTAGTTAACTCAACTTGAACATAAAGCACTGATCTAAAGATGTTGTTAAAGAGAAACTGGATTGGGAGTTTTACCATCAAGTAAATTTTGTTCTTCATATCACTACCGTTTGTTATCCAAATTGGTTTGTACAAATCTATTTAACCACAATGCATTTTGGTAAAACACACTCAAAACAAGTTTCATCCTCCATTTTTCTTAAACGAGATGTAGCTATAACGAGTGCATGGCGATCCTCTGGTGTAAATATAAGATCAACTTTGACTTCAGTCTACGTAAAGCAGTAAAATAGCTGGCGTGATTTTTGGCGAAACCAACCCAAGTTTTTATTCTGTGCTCGTTCTCCAGAAAAACATTGAATGAAATTGATTGTCGATGTCGTTCAAGAAACGAGATCCAATACCTATAAAAATTATTAATGTATAGTTGTGTGGCAAGACCACGATGATGAATGATTATTTCTTGCAACTCAATGCTTTTACATTATAGTTTTAACGTGTAAAATCTCGATGGTTTACAGAATAATCATAAAATTTTGTGGTTTGTTTCATTGATTATCACTTTACTGTACATGCAAGTGTAAATATATTCTTCATTATAGCTACAGTACTATAGTAAATACGATAAATTTGCGTGGTTCCAACGCACTGTCTGGTCGAGTGGACAGATGCAGGTTTCTCAGGTTGAGGTGTGAGGTTCGAAACCTTCGAAGGGTCGGTTGCTGTTGACTTGATGTGTTGAGCGTGATGATTAGGATGATGAAATGAGCGACAAAGATGTAGATAGTGCTGTGCACATAGGTTGGAAATAGCATTTCTCTTGCTGAATTTTTATGAATGAACGCCACACTTAGTATAATTTCAGAAAAATGAAGCAAACAAAGGAATCCTACGCAAAAGTTTGCCCTAAAAAACCAAGTCTTTTGCTCAAATTTTCCTATGATCCCCGAAGGGAGGCATTTATAATAGTGAAGAACCTCAGGGCAAACAGAACGCCCTCAAACGCTATCCTAACCTCAAACCCTGCGCTCAATCCTAAAGCTAGTACCCATACCAACATCGACAACGGGACGAACTAAGTACCTCGTGCATTGGAGGTCAATCACAACCGGTTGAGGCAAGAGCTCAACAACCAAACGTACCGATTTCTGGGCATATTTATTCAATTTTTTAACTTTCACGCGAAATAGAACGATCTGATTTTGAACCTGAGAATTTACGATCACCACACCCTCGACTTTATTATTACTTGTTTACTCATTTTCAACTTTAACAACAGAAAGAGCACGAATCGGTCTTGAACTCGAAGAGGAATGATTATGAAACCAGCATTCGTACCATCCAACCAAAAGAGAAAGACGTCAAACCGCCAAAAAACATATCAAGTGTTTCGAGAGTGTTTCTTTTCTTTGAATAAATACAGTTTTAATTTGATTTAAATAGATAGATAGATAGATAGATAGATAGATAGATAGATAGATAGATAGATAGATAGACAGACAGATAGATAGATAGATAGATAGATAGTAAGATAGTTAGACAGATAGATAGATAGATAGATAGATAGATAGATAGATAGATAGATAGATAGATAGATAGATAGATAGATAGATAGATAGATAGATAGATAGATTGACAGATAGATAGATAGATAGATAGATAGATAGATAGATAGATAGATAGATAGATAGATAGATAGATAGATAGATAGATAGATAGATAGATTGATAGATAGATTGTAAACCAATCATAGTGCATTCACACATTTTCATGCAAAAAATATCATTTATGTATTTTTTCAAATTTTCATTAAAAGACTATTGACAATGTACTTGACTACATGATTATACTGTAATTGATTACACAAATTACAATGTTTCACTCATTTTACACATTTTACACTAAAAGTTTAATTTTGCATTTTTATCAAAAGACTACAATTCGTGCATTTTTACACATATTCACACGAAAAAATTAATTTTCACCATAAGACTATAATTAAAATTAAATAATAACATTTTGTGACCATATATGGCAATAGAAGATCAGCAACTTAGATAAACTTAGTGTGTCATTTGCGTCACCTGCATGTCATTACTTCCTACGCCAAATTACTAACTTTGTCGTCTAGATGTTCTTAGTTTTCAATGAATCTTTTTTTGTATGCATTTTTAAAAACAGACTAAAAAATTCAATGGTCCGACCCGACGTAGGTATATAATATGGGGATATGTTGCTGTGTTGGGAAAAGTAGGAAAATAAGGAAAATCATCGTAGAGGGAGATTGGGGGAAAATAAAGTTTTGGTACGTGAAATGTGCATACACAGAGTGGCAGCACTTCTGAGGATGGCTTTGGAATCGCAAACTATTTTGCACCAGGGTTGCCAGTTTGGCCTTTTATCGGCCAAATAACTGAAATTTGGCCTTTTTGAAACCTGTTTGGCCGGGAAAATTAAAGCTAGCCGGCCAAATCGATTTTGGCCTATTTTGGCCTTTTCAAATTTTGATGTCATGAAATTTTATTATTAATTATATTACTCGTAATTGACTGATAATGACGTATCAGATGAGTACTGTTGTGGTTGTACCCAGTACTTATGCTCTTCCTCGGCCTGATTTGTTATTCAATATTCAGCTCTGTTGCATTTTCACATGAAAATATGTTTAATTGTGTTGCATGATACACTCATAGTTTTCTAATTAATGTTTAATGTCATTCTTGCACAAAATAACTTGTTTCCTATTTCACGAAACACGCCAGAATAAAGCAAGAGTTAAGAATTCATATCAGCCTTTTCGCGTTATATTGTTTCGCGGACCGTTGGGCTCTAGGGGAAATTAGCTCAAATACAACCTTTTCTCAGCAATTAATATCATAACTTTAATTAACAGAAAATTTGCATCTCTACTCTAGGGCAGCTCTTGGTTCTTCTGTTCACAAAGTTCTTACATTTCTTTCTCTAATATTTGTTTCCTTCTTATTATCGTAATTCTCAATCGGTAGCTCTGCTGTTCAATAGTTCAATGTTCGATTCTAGTTAATGGCGTATCACGTGCTAATTCACGTGCAGTATTCGTGAAACATATCAATATATCATATTTCATGTCCAATTTGTGCTTTGTTTGTATAACAAACATTTACTTAGTATTAACAGATGTGAAAATCAGGCTGTGATTAGAGGTGTAGAGTTGTTTGTTTGGGAACGTTCTTTTTCGTTATAAAATTTTCAAAATGCCAAAATGGAAATCAAGTTACGATAGCGGCCGCAAGTACAATTCCAAATGGGAAAAGATTTTAGCCGTCGCTTGTTACAGGCTAAGCGAGAGCTCTGGCGACCCACGAAAAAAGTGATATTCATCGCTCTTTTCTATCTAGAAGTTCTTTTTCACGGCCGTTGACAACTTGCTTTCCATCAACCAGTTCAACATCAAAACGTGCCATACAGGAGTCCGAGATTATGATCGCTGTTCAGACAGCTTGCCATGGATCCATCCGGACAGTAGATCATTTTGGTGAGATATTGGCAAAATATGGCAAAAAAAGTGATTTGGAACATATTAGATTGCACCGCACCAAATGCACGAAGATCATCACCGAAGTCGTAGGTCCAGCTTTAAAGGAAGATCTCGAAAAAGATGTTGAAGGAAAGCATTTTTCTTTAATTGTGGACGAAACGACGGATATATCAGTCGCTAAGGATCTGGCAATTATTATTCGTTACTTCAGTGAGAAACAGTGCAAAGTAACCGGACTGCTTACTTGAAATTGTTCCAATGTCTTCTGCAACTGGGGAGCTGATTTTTAATGCCATGAAGAAAACACTGGACTGGTACTGTTTAGATTTGAAGAATTGTGTGGGATTTGGATGTGATGGTGCCAGTGTAATGGTTGGGCAGCATAACTCAGTGTGGTCCAGAATCAAAGAAATTAACCCAAGTTGTATACTTATGAAGTGCATTTGCCATTCGTTGGCCTTATGTGTTCAGCATGGTTTCAACAAGCTGCCCAGTAATCTTTCATATCTTTTAGAGGAAATTCCTGCTTGGTTTTCGCAGAGCACAATTCGCCGTGATGAGTATAAAGCGTTGCACGATGAATTGAATGATAGCACAGGATTTATCGGTTTTCAGGAACTACGATGCCATTTGTGAAGTTCTGTAGTACGCGTTGGCTTTCAAGAGGCAAAGTTATTTCAGCAATTTACAAGAATTGGGACGTTCTGCAAAAATATTATGAAAACATCACCACTGAGAGTCAAAAGTTGACGCCATCCCAAAGGTACAAGGCAAGAGAGTTCCTCCGCATGGTACAAGATAATGTTAACCACTTGTATCTTACATTTGCGCTTCCTGTGGTTACTGAGTTTGAACGAATAAATGCACTTTTCCAGTCGAGCAAGTCCAGTCCTGACAAAGTGTTGAGAGGGCTTGATCTTCACCATCGCACAATGAAATCAAGAGTGTACAGTGGCGTGCGGTGACCGAATTTAATAGGCAAGCGCTGACAGTGATTCCACGATGCATTCAGTCATGTTGTACAGGTGTCGTGAAAATACCGAATGTAGAAGTAGAACATAAAAGGATGAAAATTCCTATGCTATATATTTTATAGGAACATCAATCTTATTTATACCTTACATCAGTTACATGATATCTACCGGATACAAATATCAAAACTACTACGCAAAAGGAAGCTCTTGTCAATATCATAATCTTGTATTACATGCTACAGATAATATCTTCTACATACATAAATTGCAAGACAATAGGCGCGAAATGTACTGTAGCAGTCGTGATTATAACAATTAAGAACAGCCAGTTTCGCGCACAAAATTGGCACGGTGTGTTACAAACTGAGGCCATGGCGTTGTTTAAAGTTTATATTTTGGTATAATGACATCATGGCAACGTGTTTTCCCGTTCTTCAAAATGTGTCTGGCACTGACTCGTACGTTTCAGAACATCGGAGAGTCGTGTTTATTATTTAGTATCTTGTACCTTTATTTTTAGTCATTAATTTACGAATTCAACGACACAAGACTGACAAGAGCATAGTGTTTTGGTCATAATGCTAGTCATACTTTACCACAACACACGTTTGCGTACATTTCGATATCTCTGCAGACTGCGGCCCCTGCTTGTTTACGCACATTGTGTGCAGAAAATAATAAAATAACCAGTAAAGCACCTACTACTTTGAATTAGAAATCAGAACATTACCTTTCGCTCTCAGTCATCTTTTAATAAACGATAACATTAACGGCGTGAATAATTCTGATGTCCAATGTGTTGAATATACGAATATTATTCGTACGCTGATATGTGTTTAAAATTGCGAGCGTACAAGACTGTTGACCAATCGCTATCAAGCGGCGCCCTTAGAAGCGCCGCTTGCCTTTTCTCGATATTCCTTGAATAAGAAGCCTCCAAATCTAGATTAACGCATGCGCAAATGTTCAAATTGAGCTCCGAAGGCAAGCGCGCTTGCCTTGGCTAATAAATATTCGGTGTATTTAATCCACTTGACTCATCTTACAAGTGTAGCAAAGTGAAACCGAAAACCGCGACAGTAAATCGCGTATAAATAGCAAGCATTTCAACTGTAAAGACAATTTAGACAAAAAATTACATTGACATTGTTTAGAACAGAAAATTTAAACTGATTTTGCTCAGAGATTGATCCAAAAAATTTTTGTTCGGTAAAATGCTTAGGCAAGCGGCGCTTGCCTACGCTTGCATGACCGCACGCCACTGAGAGTGTATGATAACCGCGGTAATAAGAAAACTCTGCACCAAATTGATTTTGGAAGTAAATTTATGGCCGAGTTCAATGCTCTGCAAAAGAACGACAGCAACAACGAGAACACCCTGCTGGCTGTAAAACAACGCTGTCTCGAAATGCTGATGACTTGTATTTCTCAGGTAGAGGCACGTCTTCCTGATCAAAAAAATGTGTTTTCAGAGCTTGTTGCACTCACCCCAGATGTAGTTCTCAACCAAGTTCGACGAGTGGATTTTGGAAAGCTACCGTACCAGCACCTGATGGGAGAGGACAGTGACAAAATTGAAGAAGAATACCGGCAAATGATTCACATTAACTGGAAGGAAGAGCTTCCTGGGGTATCATTCCAACTGATACCGAATCTTTTGGCTTCAGGTCCGACAAATGCAAAGATCTGATCTTGAAGATGCAAAGCTTGCAACTTTAGCAAACTATGCACTGTCTTGTTTGTCAGTGCCAATTAGTAATGCTATCGTTGAGCGTTTATTTAGTACTGTGACATTTATTAAGAATAAGCTTCGCAACCGAATGTCTTTTAAGACGCTGGATGCGTTGACACGAATCCGAACAACTCTCTATTTCCAGTCCAAATGTTGCAAAGATTTCACAGTGACAGAAAGAATGTTTCAGCTGTTCACAACGGAAAACATGTACCAGCTTGATGAAGAACGGAACCAAAACACAAACCGGGAGAGCAAAGAAGAGCAGGAGGTTGACTGTGAACTGTTACCGTTGTTTGATGATGTATGAATTTTATAACTTTTCAACATTCCAAGATTTGCAAGTCATTATCAACAAAAATGTAAACTGACTTATTAGACAAAAATATTTGTTAATCTTTTTTGTTATATCTTTTTAATGATATACATACTTTCATCTTTTATGTTTTTGTTTAACTGTTTGGAACGGTTGTTGAAATATAGGCTGAACTGACTTAATAGTCACTTTACAAAGTCATTGTTTTCAATATGCATTGTACATAATTTCCAAGGTTTTGTCATGAAATACAACACAGTACTCAAGCGCGCATATGTTTCGAAATGGTTTCGGTATATTTAAAAACTTAACATATATAGTTCAGTGGCAATGAGCAATTTGGCCTTTTATAATCCAGTTTGGCCGATTTTGGCGATCAGTTTGGCCGATTACGTCAAATACGACCTGGCAACCCTGTTTGCACGTGTTTTCTATATACTTTATTACAAGTGGCAAGTCGATACATACAAACTTTATTTCAGAACAACATGTAAATACATAATTATTAAGAAAAAGGAAACCCAGAGGTTAGCTATTAGTCGATCTTCAGCTATTAAAATTTTTCACCCAAGAAAGAACATATATTTGATACAACACAATCAAGAACGAGCTGACCAACGTTTTCATCGTAAGTACATGCTGTTTTGATTTTATTTAAATAAACACAGAACTTGGGCAAGGAATAATTCAACATGTATATTCACGTGTAACACGTTTTCGCGATCTTGTAGTTATTGTTGAACAAAGACAACGAGGAAAAATGAGCGTCTTAAAATGCCATTGTCGATTTGCCATTACCGTTGGTTAAACAAAGCATACAATTTATTGTATTTAGCCAGAAATAATACAAGCAACATCTTATTTAAGTAATTTGGTGTGTTGATAAGCACAAAGCAGCTTTAAAATTTAAATGAACCAAGTAGACAAAGGATGGTTGAAATGTATATGATGGATTGATGATAAATGCGTAAAACAACGAATTTGTGTGCTACTTTGCTCATGTAGCTTTCTAGGCTCTTTGAATGATTTTGACATAGGCAATTAGTTCTAATTATTAAGAAAGGCCATTAGTTCTCAATTTTTTTCAACTTTAGTGATAAGGCCAATTATTGATCACCAAAATTCAGAAAAGCCTGCGGGTTATTGGCTTATTGCTGTGGACATTAAACAAATGTATTTTCATATTTCTTACACCTTACTATAGCCTTGATTTTCAACCGTTTCGACCAAAACTTTGTTAATTTTTGTTTTTTGTTTTTATAACATTAAACTAAAACCTTTTATGATATGTACGTCTGTGATGATGATTAATATTTTCAACATGGGGTTATGTGATCATGTGATTTACAAAATGGTTTTGATTAAGAATTACGTAGCCTTCAGCCTTAAAATAGTTGTAATTTCTATTGCAAATCACAGCAGTGATGCAATTTTACAGAGGTAATTGAATGTTTATTCATAACAATGCATGGTTACTTTATAATACTAGTAAGTATTGTTTTTCCAATTATTGCATTCAAGACAATATGTAGTTTACAACCCACTTTTATCTCTTAGATTGGTTTATTAACTTAGCCCATTTCTTTAGTAAGTTTGCAATGTCAGTTAAATTATTTTATTTAGTTGCTTAGAACATTTTCCATTTGCTGTTATTAGCAAGTAAACTATAATGTTATACTTAAAATTTTAGGGTTATTTATAAATTAGGTATGATACATGCATGTAAAGAAGAGAATAAGTTAAAAATAGTTGAGGAGACATATAAGTTACCTGTAAATGAGACTCATCATTTTTTGATTAAAACATTTTGCTAAATGTTACCAGCACTTAGGGGGAATGGGTTGTAACATTAGAATATGTTTAAATCAATCAAAAATAAATAAAGTGACATTTACATTTTATTATTTATTTAAGTTCATATCATAATGAAACGAAACCAGGCGCAATACAGAAAAAACTGGACTGCTGCTAATACAGCTTTAAGATGCAGTGATGCAATGCCTAATGATGATGGCTGTAGTAATCTGTTTAATAATGTTTTTATAATGACCTTGAACATTCACAACCTTTACAAAAGCAGCTTGAACCATTGCCAGTCCTAAACAAAGTTCTTTCTATTTGCAAGTTGGTCTTAATGATTGTGATATTGGGGAAAATGACCGTGCTGTTTTTGGTGAAGTCGATATTTTATATGTTTCTTTTTGCCATGGAAAAGCTGATTCTTTAGTGTGTGTGAATGCAGAAATTGGGGAAAGGCATTTTTCTGATTCTTCTGATTTTGAAGAGGATAGTTTAAATGTTTCTTTTCAAGATGAGTTAGTTGATTGGGTGAATGAGTACTCAATTAAGCAAAATGCTGTTGATGGTTTGCTTGCTTTTCTTAAGGATAATGGTCATCCAAATTTGCCTTGTTGTGCTTGCACTTTGTTGCATGCATCAAGATGTATTCCCATTCAGAAAAAATCTAGCATGGATTATGTGTACTTTTCTTTTGGTGAACAATTGTTAATGTCTATAGTCCTAATGTGCATAATGGCCGCTTTACAGTCGATTTCACACAATTTTTGCCAAATTTTCTGAAGTTGGTTGCTAAGTTGCAAGGTTTACAACAATGCATTTCCGATAGTAGCAACAAAATTCATATTAATTTCCAAACTTCAAAACAATCTTGCAAACTTTCTCAATGTGTACTCCACAAATACGAGTACCTTTTACATTTACCACACTCACCACGGAGTCATACTAAATATGAAAGTCACAGGTTTCATGATCGTTATAAGTATATTATGTTAAATTACTAAAGTCTATATATAGGTTTACAGAATACAACATAAAAAGATACGATCTTGAGCTGTTTCGTCTTGTCCCCAAAATAAAAATCATTGTATCAACACATGCAAGAGCATTGAACGTTGTGAAATATATTTTAGCAAATAGCAATGTCACAGATAAAATGGATTAACGGTGTGTGCAACAATCGTAAGGTAGAACGCATTTGCCCAGAACGACACGTACAACAGAAAGAATGGAAGAATCCTGAATGGAATCAAGGATTTCGTGGACGTAGGATATACCACTTCATATCAGACTACGAATGCCCTTTTCCTTATAAAAACCATATGCCAGTTCTCGACGAGCTTAGCGAAAAAGGATTGAATATTTTGCAGTCTTTCAAACAGCAAGGATATCCAATTGCAATCAATAATCTGGTTCATTGCACAGATAATAAGGATGATATAATTATCTCACACGGCTTTATAGGCAGAGAAAAGAAGATCAACGAGATTAACGGCAAGGACATCTATGCTGATCTGTGTTGGTGGGCTCCACTCGTCGAGGAAGATGATAAGAAAAGTTTGCGAGCTCATATGGGAAATTGTTTCTTGAAAGTCTTTGATCACGATATCGAAACAATTAATGACATTAAAGACCTGTTTGGAATCTCCTTAGCATTTGAAGTGTATTCTATTTGGAAACTATACAAAACGTGTAGACATTACTTTCAATATTCAATGGACGATTTGCTTGAATATTATCAAGGTTACATTGGCGATGAGAAGATAGAGTTTCGAATATTAGGAACCTTTGCATACAAAGTAAAAGTAGAATACAACGTTCTAGTATGCAGTGAAAGCGCGGGGAAGAATGAATTTTCTCAATACCCACACATACAAGAGAGCAACGTCGTAAGGAGAGATAGCGAAGGCAACTGGAAGTGGTATCCACAGGCGACTGGAAAGGATGAAATCAAGCGTTTTGATGGTAGTAAAGATCCCGAGTATAGACGTTATGATTGTGTGTCTTTTGCATTTCATGTGCCAAAGGAAAAACATTTAAGATCGATAACTTGGACAAACATTTCCATAAAATATAATAGGAGCTTTCCAGTGATTTAAAGCAAGCTTTCTCTTTCACGCAAATATAACAAAAATTAAGAAATCAGCTGAGCAAAACCTTAATGATATGAGAATATTTTCAAGCGACGCACGAATTACTAAAGTTAATCATCATTTGTAATAAAGGTCGATCTCTGAAAATAAAAAAATTGTAGACGTCATCTCTTCGAAAAACGTACGTTATATTTTCTTTTGACCGAGAAAACACATCGTATGTATGTTTGTAAATTTTGTTACTACACACATGGTGTTTTATAATGTGTAGAAGCAACGTACGCAGTGGATAAAATCTCAGTGACAAAGATAAACTCAGACCGCCACACCGGCATTGTACAAACAACACATCATTTTTATAATGTATAGACTGCTTAACTTACATCAGCAACTTTAAACCTTTAAACAATTATTTCAATATTTTAGAAAATTTCAATAGCGAAGATTTTCCCCATGTATAGACGTTATGATTGTGTGTCTTTAGCATTTCATGTGCAAGAAGGAGAAATATTAAAGACCAATGATGTTGATAAACATTCAAAGAAACTTAACATTTGAGTACTTCAGTAGTTCAAAGAATCCTTTTTCTCCCGTCTATCTCTAAACAATGATCTATTTACGTGCAAATGGTAGCAGAGAAACCTTTACTATGGAAGCAATCATTCTATCAAGATTTTTAAGAGGTCATGATATAAGAGGCCAAGACCTTCTCGATAGCGAAAAGTAATTTTGAACTTTCTATCAACATAAAATAGATTACCCTATGTATAAAACACAATATTTTTAAACGCAACATCCGGTTTAAAATTTTACTCAAAGTATGTAGAAACTACAAGATCGCTTGAGCAAGCTACTGTCCATATTTTGGAAAAGCGTCAATGGTAAGCTAGGTAGGAAAACCATGCAAAACAAAAAATTGTTTCTTATTATTTCTTCGAGGAGAATACAAACGTTTTAAAATTTAAGAATCGCAGAGAACAAGACATGACAAAAAATGTTAGTTTGGTTGAGGATAAGGTTGCACATAGATATAAGTGGATTTTTAACCAATGAAATACCCAACAACAGTACGGGTTCGAATGCCATTCAACTTACTTAAGCACAAAATTTTAAACACAGTGTGTTTTCTGTAAAGCATCACAGAGTGTACAACAGTTAGAATTCAATAAAATTTGCCAAATCTTTTGAAAGATTTAAAAATGCAAGAAAGAAGTTTTGTCGTTCACAGATATATTTGATGTTTCACTCAGGAAACTTAAAATTATCTTTACAACAATAAAATTACAATACTTTTTTTTCATTCGATGCATGCATATAAAGGAAATCGTTCCGTGATAAAGACCAATTTTAGTGCTATCAAACATTACAAAAACCCTTCTAATATACATGTACTGTACAGCATCATCATAATAATACACAAATATGAATATGTGCACATATATATGTATATATTTTCAGCAACTAGAAGTCATTTTATGTCCAGCAATATTTAAATACAACCGGTGTCTAATGGTGTAATTTTGATAACATTAGGCTTTGGGCATAGATTTTAGATTAAATCTGAAAAAAGTTACTTAAAAAGTACTCAGTATTAAGATATTTGTAAGTGATTCTTTTTGTACTAAGCGGTTTTAGCGTTATTTGCATGACTACTAATCCCAGTGGAGCTTTTCTATAGCAATTATTTATATGTATTAAAAATTTAAATTGATAAAATTTAAAGTGTTTCATTTACTATATAATTGTAGCATTCGTACATGACGATTGTGTTATTTTGCTGCAACCCTATGAGAAAGCAATAACTTACCTATATCTATTGCTCGTGAAATAATTTCGAGGATTACTCAATTTTAAATGTATGCTCTCGCAATAAAATAATTTTTACTATGAACGATCCAGGAGCATTTTACGCGATTTCCTTTGAAGTTTCTTAAAGAAATTTAAGTAAATAAAGCTTTCATTGCATGGCGACGGGTAAAATGTTCGAACGCACTATGAGAAAACAAACTCATTCTCAATAATCAGTGAACAGCAACAAAACAAACCAACTCAAAAATAAAAGTCTCGGTAAAGACCTAAATGACGTCTGACATAACAAGTGCATGTCAACGTAACAAAGACAAATAAATGGTGAACCATACCAATGAATTCCATTCATTAACCTAATTAACGACAATATTTATGCTTCTACAAACTCGGTAACATTCTGACGACTCTAAAATTTCTCTCCATGACTCTAACTTAGAAATTATAAAGAAATCGCGACAATCATAGTCGTTTAATTTGATGTGTCGCAGCGAGCACACGACGTTTTCTTAACATTGGCTGAAGGTTGTATTTACGTTACGACATAACTCCAGACAAAATCGTCCAAACAAAACTACAGGCTATACATAACATGTCTTGTCAAAAACCATGTTTACCCGACAATAGTGTAGTAAAAAACAATTTATTGGCATCTTCGATGAACTTCGTTCGTATATTCTGTATTACAAGGATATGTCTTTTCGGAAGTTTTGTTCACACCACGTCGTGTCGAAAACGAAGTAAGATATATCGCTGTCGGCCAGTCTTGGACAAAATAAGCCTTCATCCCAGCTCACACGCGACGTTTTCTTAACGTTGGCTGAAGGTTGTATTTACGTTACGCTATGACATAACGTTAGTACAACGTTCTTACCACGTTGCTTTTCTTATTCAAATTTTAACCACGTTGTGTCAACGTTGGTTGAACTTTAACATTAACATTCGGTAAGGAAGTTATGTTGTTACGTTGAAACAACGTTGTCTAAACGTTAAGGTGAACGTTAGTATAAGGTGATTTTTTGGTCGCGTGCCCGTCGTTATTGCCTGACGTTGTTTCAACGTCGGTTAAACGTAAAGATGAACGTTAGATTAAGGTGATTTTATGGTCGTCGGCGTTTTTAATGTCTAACGTTGTATGAACGTTGTCTAAACGTAAAGATGAACGTTAGATTAAGGTGATTTTATGGTCGTCGGCGTTTTTAATGTCTAACGTTGTATGAACGTTGTCTAAACGTAAAGATGAACGTTAGATTAAGGTGATTTTATGGTCGTCGGCGTTTTTAATGTCTAACGTTGTATGAACGTTGTCTAAACGTAAAGATGAACGTTAGATTAAGGTGATTTTATGGTCGTCGGCGTTTTTAATGTCTAACGTTGTATGAACGTTGGTTAAACGTTACGATTAACGTCAATTCATGTTGTTTCATGTTTACGTAGTGCGTTGCAGTTAACGTTGTATCAACTGTAAAATGTAGGGGAATTGTAGGAAGAAAAAAAATTGTTTAAAAATGAGCCTCATTTTTGCCCAAAATACTCGTTTCTTCCTGTCTTCTCACCATTTAGCAAGTGTTGTAACTTTAATTTTATAGTCTGCGTGAAAAAATGTGAAAATTTGTGAAAACACATAAATTATAGTCTTTGTGTTAAAAAATGTGAAAATTTGTGAAAATGCATGAATTATAGTCTTTGCGTGAAAAAATGTGAAAATTTGTGAAAACACATAAATTATAGTCTTTGCGTGAAAAAATGTGAAAATTTGTAAAAATGCATGAATTATAGTCTTTTTGTTAAAAAATGTGAAAATTTTTGAAAATGCATAAATGATAGTCTTTGCGTGAAAAAATGTGAAAGTTTGTAAAAATGCATGAATTATAGTTATTGCGTTATAAAATGTGAAAATTTGTGAAAATGCATAAATTATAGTCTTTGTGTTAAAAATGTGAAATTTGTGAAAACACATAAATTATAGTCTTTGTGTTAAAAATGTGAAATTTGTGAAAATGCATGAATTACACTTTTTGTGTTAAAAATGTGAAAATTTGTGAAAATGCATGAATTATAGTCTGTGTGAAAGTATAAAAAGATGTTAAAATTTAATTTTTTCTGTGAAAATGTGTAAAAATGCGTGGATTATTGTCTTTTATGAAAATATGAAAAAATCATAAATTATATTTTTTGCATGAAAATTTGTGAAAATGCATGAATTATAGTCTTTTTATTAAAATTTGAAAAAAGGCATAAATTATAAAAATATAATCAAAATGCAATAATATAATGCATTTTCACACATTTTCATTTAAAAGAACATATTTCATGCATTTTATGCAAATGACTATAGTTCACACATTTTCATGCAAAAGAAGTTCATGTATTTTCACACAAAAAATAATTTATGCATTTTTTCAAACTTTCATGCAAAGGCATTTCTGTACTGTCAGGGGGCATTTGTGTACTGATCATAGGGCACTTTCGTAACCAAACCTGACATTTTCGTAACCAAACCAGATATTTCCTAACCGCGTACGGCTTATTTAACTTTACAATTTAACTAAAATATATTTCACCACCATACAAGATAACCACTTACTGGAAAGGCATCAACAAAACACAAGCTTTTCTCAAAATTTCACATTGCCGGTTCTTATTTTTTACCCTGTAATTTTCCCTAGTTTCTGTGAACACACCCAGTCACACTTCAAGAAGTCGTCCTTCCATAGAAGACAACATTAAATAAAGCTGTCATTTCATAGTCGAATGTTTTCAATGAAGTTAATGAAATCAAATGTAATCACATGTATTTAAAAAGTCATTATTTCATTTGGAAAAGGCCTTATTTTATACGGGACAACATTTAATAAAGTCGTCATTTCCTAGGTAATGCTGTCCACAAAATGTGACATCAGCAATTCTCTCGCTGAATATTTGAGAACGGAATGCGACACTTTATAATTTCAGAAATATTATTCAGAAATAATTTCAGTATAATTTCAGAAAAAAATCAAGCAAGCAAAGGAGCTACAAAAAATTTTGCGCTTTAATGAACTAAGTCTTTTGCTCAAATTTTTCTATGACACCCGGAGGAGTCATTTTAATAGTCAAGAACCTCAGGGTAAACAGAGCGCCCTTAAACTCTCTCTAACCTCAAACCTTGTACTCAATCCTGAAGCTACAATCCATACCAACACCATCAACGGGACGAACCAAGGACCTCGTGCATTGGAAGCTCGACAACGAATATTACAGATTTTTGGGCATATTTCAAATCAATGACCAACAAGAAACTGTAAGTTTTTGAACTAATCAATGACCAACAAGAAGCTGTCAGTTTTTGAACTAATCAATGACCAACAAGAAGCTGTCAGTTTTTGAACTAAACAATGACCAACAAGAAGCTGTCAGTTTTTGAACTAAACAATGACCAACAAGAAGCTGTCACTTTTCGAACTAATCAATGACCAACAAGAAGCTGTCACTTTTCGAACTAGTCAATGACCAACAAGAAGCTGTCAGTTTTTGAACTAATCAATGACTAACAAGAAGCTGTCACCTTTTGAACTGAACAATCACCACCAAGAAGCTGTCACACTTTTCAAACTTTCAACTCATACAGAAAGAACTTATCTTTCTCACGCACCGCAAAGTCCATCACCCTGACTTAGTAGCGGATCGAGGGTTCGCCAGAATACTTCGCCACAAATACATTTCCAATTAAAACTAGCTACATTATCGCAAACGTTATTGGTAATAATTTAAATAATTATATATTCTTGAGAAATTTCCTACCAACAAAGTTGTTCTTAATGTATTAAGAATACAAAATTAAATGCTTTAATGAATTTTGACCTGCCCTGAATTCGCCACTGTGTTGATCTTCTTGTACATTACGCCATCTATAATCATATAGAACGACCAATAAAATGGAACGTTTGATGAAAATGATGAATTTTGAAATGAATATGAAAAGTATCACTTCTCTTACATACGAAAACTGCCTTCTTATTTTCCTGTTCTTTCAAGCATGTTTTCGTACACGTGTTTTTCCTAGAATAAACAGAAACGACGTCAGATACAGGACAAGTTGGATACGCAACATCTAAAACTAAACGCGTACAATGAACATACTTTCTGTGAGACGGAAGCCTTGATCTTTTCAAAAGCTCCTTCAAAATGTTTCTCGAATACGACAGCGGAAACGCCGTTTTGATTCTCGTCAGATTGACTACCTTTAATACAGTCGCGCAATGCGTTAACGCACGCTTCTCGAATCAAAGCAGAAAGATCAGCACCTCTGAATGAAAATAGAAAGAACTCGTTCGTCGTGAGCATGCAATCGTCAGTGAATTAGTGTACAGTTTGCAGCAACTTATATATGACTAGCCCTGCCTCGAAAGTTTTTTTCTTTGTTTATCGATTCGGTAAAAACCAGTAGCAGAGTTAGGGTGTGTCAGAATGCATTGCTACAAAGATTACTAGAAATTCAAAACGCTTATACTTTACGTAAGGAATATTTTTATCTTTAAACATTTTGTGGTGATTCCTAATTCAAAACGCTTATACTTTACCTAAGAAATATTTCTATCTTTAAACATTTTGTAGTGATTCTTAATTCAAAACGCTTATACTTTACCTAAGGAATATTTTTATCTTTACACATTTGCGGTGATTCCTAATTCAAAACGCTTATACTTTACCTAAGGAATATTTCTATCTTTAAACATTTTGTAGTGATTCCTAATTCAAAACGCTTATACTTTACCTAAGGAAAATTTTTATCTTTAAACATTTTGTGGTGATTCCTAACCGAAAACACACCCGTCAATTTCTGAGAATCAAACATGAGCATTCGAAACTTACGAAAATCCTTCACAGCGACCATCCGAAGCGATTGCCTTCAAATCCACATCGTTGCCAAGTCTTGGCTTCGATCCACCCTACAGGAGGGTGTGACAAAAGCAAGTAGTACAAACGGAGGGCGGAATAATTTGAAACAAAATGTACAGTTAAAGTGACGACAGCCAATATGGATCAATATTAAAATACTTACGAAAGCAAAATTTACAGCATAGTTTCATAATGGCAATGAAACTTCAGTAAAATTATGATATTCAACATTGATCAACGTATTTAGCTTTACCTAGAGATATTTATCTTTACCTAGAGATGTTTAATTTTACCTAGAGATGTTTAACTTTACCTAGAGATATTTATCTTTACCTAGAGATGTTTAAATTTACCTAGAGATGTTTAACTTTACCAAGAGATGTTTAACTTTACCTAGAGATGTTTAACTTTACCTAGGGATGTTTAACTTTACCTAGAGATGTTTAACTTTACCTAGAGATGTTTAACTTTACCTAGGGATATTTATCTTTACCTAGAGATGTTTAACTTTACCTAGAGATGTTTAACTTTAACTAAAGATATTTAACTTTAGCAAGAGATGTTTAACTTTATCTAGAGATGCTTAACTTTAACTAAAGATATTTAACTTTACCTAGGATGTTTAACTTTACCTAGGGATATTTAACTTTAGCAAGAGATGTTTAACTTTACCTAGAGATGTTTAACTTTAACTAAAGATATTTAACTTTACCTAGGGATGTTTAACTTTACCTAGAGATGTTTAACTTTACCTAGAGATATTTAACTTTAGCAAGAGATGTTTAACTTTACCTAGAGATGTTTAACTTTAACTAAAGATATTTAACTTTAGCAAGAGATGTTTAACTTTACCTAGAGATATTTAACTTTAGCAAGAGATGTTTAACTTTATCTAGAGATGCTTAACTTTACCTAAAGGTATTTCATTTTACCTAGAGAAATTCAATTTTACCTAGAGAAATTCAATTTTACCTAGAGATATTTAGCCTTGTCATTATGCAAGTAACATCACTATGATATCACATTACATAAACATAATTAACTCTTGGTAATAGTAGTTTTTGTCAAGAGTGTGTTGTAGAATATGTATCTTTGATACCTACACATATATTCATCTTCACATGTATATAGCAAATCGTTGTACTAACGAATATGATATTTTAGAAAACGCTGAGAATCAATGATGTTAATGGAGTTTAACAGACAAAATCACCAAGACATTTAAAATGCTCAATACAGTACAAACAGAAAACTTTGATGTAAAATTTAGTTTTATAAAACTTATAAGATCATTATAAGTTCCTATAAGTCCTACAGGATCCATCAAAATCTTGATATCATTTCCAACTTAGCTAAGAAGAAATTTCCCTTGATCACATTAATATCCCTCAGCATATGCGACTTAAATCGTCTTTGAGAGTTTTCAGACATATTCAATAAAATATTCGGCAGTATGCATACCTTCGTTAAAGTGTTCAAGATCGCTAATCTATCTTTCTCTTGCGGTAAACCAACGTAAAGTGTTTTATCAAGGCGCCCAGGTCGCAATATAGCTGGATCAATGATATCTGGAAAAGTTTAAATTTGAAGGAAATAGATCTGAGCGATATCAAATCACCGACAATCTTTTAAAGAAGAACTTTATTTTCAAAACCACTCATGATGTCTGGAATTGTTTAAATTTGAAGGAAAATGCGGAGGAAGATGAAAACACTAAAATCTCTAAGATGGAGGCAAACAGTCCATTTGGTACTTTGGCTTTAAAACCACTCAAGATATATGGAATTGTTCAAACATCAAAGCGTAGTCAAAGGTTCAAGAAGATGTCTGAATAATCAAGTCCGCATTTTATTACATTGGCTTCAAAACGCTAGACGATATTCTAGATGGGATTTATCAAAAAAAAAATCATACGATTTATCAACATGCCGATAATTATTTGAGGTCGTGATTGAAAATGTTTAAGCTTCTAGGAAAATGATTTACAAAAGACATTACTATGTGGAACAAGCATGTGTACATAGTAGTAGAGGTTTACCCTTTTTTACGTAAAGCCTCAGCACAAAAAACTTCATTCTATCATAAACTAAGAAGGAAAATTACCAGGTCTGTTGGTTGCTGCCATGATGAAAACCTGTTTCCTTGTCTCCAGACCATCCATTTCCGTCAACAACTGATTAACAACACGTGCGCTAGCCGTCGACTGAAAGATATTTTGATCAAATATACAGTGCCATTAAATGACGGTATCACATCATTGAGCTTTAAATCTCTGCTAAGAAAACCTTTCTTTAAATAAAATGGTTTCAACCCAGGATTATGGTCACATGTTTGAAGATGTTCATCGTCCAAGTTGGTGCAGTCCTGAGAATAATGGTTCATATTAGCATGGACTGACCTTTAGATCAGGGATTGACTTAGGATGAATTTGATGGTTGTATTAGTATAGACTGATCATTAGACCAGATTTGATTCTGGATGATTTTGATGGTTGGTATTAGTATGGACTGACCTTTAGATCAGGGATGGATCTAGTAGGATTTTTTTCGGGGAAGAGTTTTTCCACACTTTGAATTGGATTTCGGTTGTGACTTTGTGGTTGTCATCATGCCATATCACACTTTTTTTGTTAAATTATCTTACTTTTACACCATGGTCGAGAGATATTTTTGGAAGCGTGCTTCATTAACACAAACGACTTTTACTTATTGTTTGGTATATTGACATTTCGTAGAAAAATAGGCAGTGTCCAGCACTCCCTCCCGTAAAAGCTCTAACTCCGTTGCCGGTTATCACTTCAAAGTCAAGAGTCAAAACATCAAAACGTTAGTCAACACCAACACCCACAGTCCTTCTTAGGACTTCCCTAACCTGGATGATCAACATCTATCAACATGAAACTTCATGTAATAATATTTAAAACATGAATCATTCAAACATTTTATTCCAAATACCTCTTACAATAATTTATGTTTCAAATACCTCGTTGCTAAGCGATCGTCGTGGACACAGCGCATCCAGTTCGTCAAAGAAGATCACACATGGTGCTGAGTTGCGGGCACGTTGAAACACTTGACGTACGGCTCTTTCGCTTTCACCGACATACTGTCAAAAATACCGACAAAATAACGACAAAATACCGATAAAAAGATCGCTACATTCCGTGTGAGAAAAATGAAAGGAAGATGAGCACATTAAGCGAGACGTACCATGTTCAAAAGTTCTGGTCCTTTCACGGAAATAAAGTTGATCCCAGATTCGTTGGCGATGGCCTACAAACACACAAAAATACACTTCGGATATGATAAAAATTTGTTTAAATGTACTTGAAGGGACGGTAATTTGAGGAATTTGTCTGCAACAAGGCAATAACTTCACATAACTAGACCACGTACAACTAAAGAATTTCCCAGGTAAGTGAGTCCATAACGTGGGACTGCTGCCCTCCCCGTCTATAAAGCTAAGAAGCATTCTAATGGGACAATACCTTAGCAAGTAACGTTTTCCCACATCCAGGTGGTCCGGCCAGTAATATTCCGGGGGGATTGGTCAGACCAAGTTCATTGAAAGCCTCGCGGTGACGTACGGGAGCCTAGAGCAAACACAGGATTACTTCTCAGTTACATTTTTATTCTCGTAAACGTAGACATACTGCAAGTGCGCATGTGCAAACACTTATTTAAAGGGAAGCATCTGTTACATCGTTCATCAACAGGTTTTTGCGAATGGATAGCTCAACTGAAAAAGACTAGTTTTGGCAGTATGTAGTTTAAAGGGAGAAGATCGAATACACCATGCATTTCGTCAGGTGGCAACGTCTGCCATCTGTTAAAGGTGAATCAACTTATATTTTCATCAGTTGTTTTGATGATGAAAGAAAAGTTGATTCACTAACTATTGCAACATTCAAAGTTGATTCACCTAGCATTATTCGCAACATTCAAAGTTGATTCACCTAGCACTATTCGCAACATTCAAAGTTGATTCACCTAGCACTATTCGCAACATTCAAAAGTTGATTCACCCTAGCACTATTCGCAACATTCAAAAGTTGATTCACCCTAGCATTATTCGCAACATTCAAAAGAGTGAAAGCATGACTCTATGTTCCTAGGACTACACCCAACAAGACTTTGCCAACGCGTAAAAAAACAGTTGGGAAGCGTCGACAACATCACGACATAGAGTGTGACTGCAGCAATAGGCACACACCTTCTTTCAAATAAATCCTGTGCTGACGCACACACAGATGATCATGGCGTAGGAAGATCGATAATTGGGGGCTAATATTCATATATGTATGATATACAGAGTTAAGTTCTTTTGAATCCATTGTTTTCGAAGGATTATGACATGAATATATGAATATGACCTCCCCCCCCAATTATCAATCTTCCTACGCTCTTGCAGAAGATAAATTTCGTATGCTAAACAAATGCAGGTCGGCTTTTTTCTGAAAACAATGGAGGCGCTAATCAATGGAAGCTTAATGATCCGGTCGTTTGTCGACAGACGCAGTTCATTTGAAGTTGGCTTTATTTTGATGACTGATATAAATAAAAGTTGATTCACCCTTAACAGATAGCAGACGTTGACACCTGACGAGTTGTCTGCCGAAATGCAAAATGCACAGCACTTCTAAAACATTTCTTTTCAGAACATTTGGTAGTCTCTAGGGAGAAAGATCCACTAGTTAACACAGCGAACTTTCAAATCCATCATAGATTACATTTTAACGCAACGCAACGACTGCCGACATCAATTTCTATGTAAAATCAATAACATACTATTATAGCCATCGTCAACTCTTCCCTGACATCTTCTAATGCGCCGACATCTTCCCACGTGACGTCTGGGATTGTAGCAAAACCTTCACGCTTAGCTGAGGGTTGAACATCACGTAATGCTTGCTAGTGGAAAAACAAGGATTATTCATAAACATATTCAATACAGCTACTCCAACAAAAACGTAAACACACACAACATCTATTAGTAGGCAATAGTGTAAAACCGTTCAGCAATTTGTAAAATCAACTTTTTTTTTGCCAAAGTCATGTTCTATCAATTTAGTATTTTCGCCATAAACTATTATTTTGCCAACTGAGGGATTGGGCTCTGTATTTATTGAAGAAGTCAATTGACCTTCAAAAGGACTCAACAATGTTCAATATATGATGTTCAATTAAAAGTTTAAAACAATTATATCAATTCTTTTCTCGTTTTGTCAAAACTCCCAAAAAATGACTTAGGTATACGTAAAAGTACACATATAGTGACGATATGAATAATACACATTACACAAAATGATATCTTAGATCTCACTAATACAATTTCAATAACGTTCGTTCTGAAAACTCGTAGCTACATTTTGAAAGCTCAATAAAGTATGTATCTCAATTAAAAGAAGTCTGCTCATTTAAACAAAATAATACAAGCACAACAAAGCTAGATATCGTACTATTACATTTCATCAAATATTTAGCGACAAATTTCAATATAACAATGTTCAAAGAATCATAATCAATACTAGGCTAGAGCTTCGTATTAAATAATATATTAATTTCCCTTTGATTTGGTTTCTTTAGCACAGAAGTTCGACAAGGAAAAACAAAGCGTTCATTCGAATTCTTTTTCGTGCAGTTGCTCTCAAACATAAATTGTTTTTCTTTAAGTCAAGGACATGTGTGTATATACCTTAAAGTCGTCCATTGTAATACATAAGTCTTTAAGTTGGTTTTCGGTAAAAATAGCTTCACTGCTTTTGAACAAATCCATGACTGCAAATACAATTTTTGTGTAAAATCAACAAACAAAACGTGAAAAACTACAAATGGTCGTAAAAAAATTCACAAAGAGAACGAAGCAAAAAATTGATCGATTTAAAATGCTTTTCTATCATTATGTGACATTGATAACTATCAAAGGTGCAACCGCACGAACGAGGACGATTATAGTGTTACACGTGATGCAAAATTAAACCAAAGTAAAACAAGTCTTGCTTGACGTTTCTCAAGGCTTGTGAATATGGATCAGGGACAATTCTCTCAAAGAGAGCCTGCATGGTAAGGGTGTTATACAATTTAACATGTCCATTTCAGTGACACACGTGACGTAGCATATTTCCCACGTGACGCAGCACATTTCCCACGTGACGTAGCACATTTCCCTTTGCATCCCAGAGAATGATAGTGAAATCTATTACGACATAGGTTTTCAGAAAAAGTCAACCTATGATTCAATAAATAAAAATCATACACTTTGCAATATCGTAATTATTTGTCTATGCTCGAAGCCAGCGAACAACAGCATTACCATGTGAATGTCACACACGAGAGGAGGAAGAATAGCCCATCAGTGTGATTGTAAGCACTTACCACTTTTCTGTTTATTAGGGTCCGTCAAATTCTAGGCCGAAAAAGAAAACAAAAGTCAAAATGCCTTATCTTTCAATTTCAGAAAAACATTCAAATTGAGGGGATCGTTTCCAAGTTAAATGAACTAAGAACATTCTAAATAATGCATCGAAAGCTAGTTAGTGTTGATGAAAATAACGCGATTGTTTACCGTCGAGTTTCGTAGTACCATTGAATGGTTTTCAGAGCATCCTGTTTCACTTTCGTTAAATATCCTAGAAATGAAAGAATGATGTGAGCGAGCACATCAAATCGCGCATTTTGCTTTCCAGCGGACTGGAAACATGAGCACCAGTTGTGGCTACCGTATGAATTGCCGCTTTGGACGGAATGAGGAGCAGGAAGTGACGTTTAAAAAAAGGGTGTTGTTGTTAGAGTAAAAGACAAATTGTTGTTGAATCTTGTACGTGGGACCAAACGGTCCTTAATGTAATTTGAAAGTAGTAAATTGTAATTCGGTTTATTTTATTAAATTGTTTATTCCCAAATTATATAACGACTTGAGAGTAACAACAGTCATATAAGCTCACACACTGAAAGAATTCAGCAAACTAACCTGGTTACAGCACACATTGCCGCTTCTCGTACAAGAGCGGTTAGGTCAGCACCAACAAATCCGGGCGTCTGACTTGCCAAAGACTTGTAATCGAACTCTTCTTGCAATTTTAGACCTTTGCACTGCACACAAAGAATTCTATAAAAAGAAAGATGAAAATAGAAAGAAATGAGCGGCTGATACAACAGCAACAACAACACCATCACGAACGTAAAGGTTTGATACTTGAAAGTATCTTAACGCAGGTGAAATCTTTAAGCAAAAGTGTTTATGGACTAGACGCGATTCCAAACGAGACTTTCAAATTTGACGTTCTCCTGGCAGTCACAAATGCAGGATTAGAAACTAAGGGGAAAAATGCTTCTTTGTACATCGCAATGCTTCGTGCATCACTCGTTTTGACGACACCAAAACCTCATAGTGTTTCCTTTGCAATGCCAACTCCTTCAAAGATTATTTTTTCTATGATTCAAATTTTTCTATGGTTCAAATTTTTCTATGATTCAAATGTGCCTTTCTTAAACATCAATCCTTCACAACGGCAGTTATTAAATGAGAAAGCCACCATCTTCTTCGAAGTCCCATATTCTAAGGGATGTCAACTATGAACCAAGAACGATATCTACCTATTACCTGTATGATTAAGATTTATGTTTGGTTGGAACTTGAAAGAATAATAAAGTACAATACAGTGAATGGTTTGAACCCGGGAGTATCGTTACATGTTTGTAGATGTAGATCGTCCAGGTTGGTAGACTCCTGAGAAAGATTGTTGATGTTGACTGACGTTTCGACAACCTTAGCGGTAGTCATCTTTAAAGTCAAGTGACACATTTTCTGTACAAACAATACAATGACGTAAGAACCAGACAACAAATACGGCAAACCTGACGTTTACTCTCTCATTGACTCTGAAGATGACTACCGCTAATGTTGTCTACAAGTCAGTCAACATCAACATCAACATTCCTTCTCAGGACTCTACTAACCTGGACGATCAACATCCACAAACATGTAAAGTACAATACAATAAAGAAATGAGAAAATCTAAAGAACAAATAGAAATAGTTCATCGCTATTGTCTGATTCCCTCAATCAGGAAATCAATCCATATTATGTAGGTAGTTATTGCAAAACCAACATACTTTAAAGTGTTGTCGACTTACTCTTCTCTTGCTCGTTCATCAGGAATGCCCATTCGTATCTCACGATCAAACCTTCCTGCGCGTCTTAAAGCTGGATCAAGGGAGTCAGGCCTGTTTGTTGCACCAATCACAAGCACACGAACGTCCTTGTTTCTGTTCATTTCATCTACGATGAAACACCACATGTCAATAAACAGTCGCGGACACTTTATGAAATATTAGGGGGCGGGCTCGTCCTCAAGGCATGAGATTTTAAGGAAGATTCCAGGAAATGCCTATTGGTATAATTTTATAAATAAGGTTTCCTACGTACATACACATCATCCTACACACACAAGGTTTAATGCGTCTGTTGGTACGTGTACAGTACAGAAGTGTATCAAATAGTTATTATTTAACATCACAGTTACTGTGTACGTGAGATTTGAGGGATTTGGCGCAAGATTTTAAATCTTTGCCAAGTTTGCTAGTGTCCGCCTCTGTCAATAATTTTACTTTATGGTGTGTTCATTTACAGCCATTAAGTTTAAAAACGATTCACCATTTCACTGGTGCAAAACCTCAAGTTCAAAACGCAAAAATTGAAAGAAATTGGGTTTTCGATTGATCATGAAATGAATCAAATGACAATCACAAAAAAACAAGAAATGAAAAACCTCGCCATAACTAACCCAAACAAGAAAGCAATTGTGCAACAATACGTCGCTCCATTTCCTTCGATGCGTTCTCACGTTTAGGTGTTATCGCATCGATTTCATCAATGAACAACACACACGGTGAATGATCCCACGCGCGTCGAAACACGTCACGAATCTTGCCCTCGGATTCGCCTGATATACCAGAAATCAATTGGGTCGAAGCGACGTTGAAAATCGGCACGTCGAGTTCGCCAGCGATGGCGTGAGCAAACAACGATTTTCCACATCCTGGTGGGCCGTGGAGCAAAATCCCTCGGAGGAGTGATCCCCAGGGTGTCAAATACTTCCGGATGTTTGATGTGGACCAACAGCTTACAAACATCCTAATGTGAAACGACATGTATTCATGACGCATGCGCACTTTTATGTTAACAGTTAAAGAGAGAAACTCTTCGTAAAAGATGGCACTCTTTGCTCGTCGTACGTCGTCGTCGTCAAAATAAAAAAATAAACGTTTAACACATGTTATAATGGTTACTGTCACAACTTACAAAAGAGCTTACGCAACTTCTTAAATCATAAGTGGAAAATTTAGAGAAAATTCAGCTTGAATGACACAATCATATAGCCCCGTTTCCCGTCATACCTTGTGGGATGGAGACGAGAAACGAGTCCCTCGTATCTAACACTATTACGTTTCGATAAAGTTGCTGTAAATGCCCTTACAACAATTGCTCGATCTACAATGGATAATTTCAGAAAGACCAAATCACCTGGATCGTATTTTTACAGCCTCCGAGATCTGAAAATTTCATCAGAGGAACGCGCGGTATTTCGATTTCTATACAAACAAGAACGATTGTGATTAAATGGTATGAAGTACAAAAGCATGGCCATGATACTATCAAATTTTTCGTGTCATCATCGAAACTTCAAACTCTCTTTACACAGAATTCAATGCCCAATAAATATCTAATTATGTTCTCACGTTTGAAGCCTCGTGTAAAATTGAATTATTCTAAAGGACCGTTCACACGATTCGATTTGTCGGATCCGATTGTTTCGGGTCCGTTTTTTTGGTTGCGGGCTCAGACGGTCCAATAGTTTTGTATTTACATTCGTTTTGATATTTACAGTCCTTTGAACAGCCATTTGTGTTGTCCAGGATATCAATCAATATATTTTTCGTATCTTGAATCTTGATTCCAAGTTTTTCAAATCTATGTAATTTGGCTAGTCGGCTTCTTTCGATCTTGTCGGATGAAAATAGAGCAAGTTCTATATCCATCCGAATTTGAGATTGACAGATCTGACTGTCGGAGGCTCGCTTTATATGTGTTCACAGGATCCGTTTTTTAGGATCCGACAAAATCGGATCCGACAAATCGGATCGTGTGCACGGGATTTAACTAAAACGTTATAAATCAAACATACTTGTTCACAATTATTTATAATGGTAATCATCTGCGAATAATTCAAAGAAGAAAATAGACATGGATGAAGAATGTCACTACATGGCAGTAAGTTTCAAACAACGGGAAAGTTTCTGCTAAACTAACTAAACTTTCCAGTGAAAATTTTTCATCATTTTCCAATGGAAACAAGCACGTACGACAAATGCAAATGTTCCTGCTAAACCAACTAAACTTTCCAGTGAAAATTTTTCATCAATTTCCAATGGAAACAAGCACGTACGACAAATGCAAATGCTCCTGCTAAACTAACTAAACTTTCCAGTGAAAATTTTTCATCAATTTCCAATGGAAACAAGCACGTACGACAAATGCAAATGTTCCTGCTAAATTAACTAAACTTTCCAGTGAAAATTTTTCATCAATTTCCAATGGAAACAAGCACGTACGACAAATGCAAATGTTCCTGCTAAATTAACTAAACTTTCCAGTGAAAATTTTTACTCGATATCAAATAGAAGCAAGCGCGTACGACAAATGCAAATGATGAAATAAATTCTGGAGAAAATTTCCTTCGAGATACAAGAATATTTTTGTAGCAAGGAATTTCGTGAAAACATCCAAATTCAAGCCGTGTACACTACCGTTGCTTTCAACAAGATTGTTGTTCACACTGGACTTCTTCTTCGTTTCATCTGAAAGCGTCGACGTCCGACGTGTTTTTCGTCTTCTGTCTTTACTCGATCCATACTTCTCAACCTTTTCTTCCTTTTCCTCGTCATTCTTAATAACTAGCTCGGGCGTGTTTTCGGACATTCGGAGATGGTCGTGAATGGAATAACCTTTTTCCATTGGAGAACTCGTCTCCACTTCAACCATCGTCGATGGTGTTTTGCCATCGGAAATTCTCGCGTTTGATGTTTGGTACATCTCGTGCATGGAGCAGTTCACCAAATTTTCCGTCTAACATAATACATCAAAAATTATGACAACTTGGAGATAAGAGAAGGCATAGAAAGGGTTGATGAAAAATAAAGGAAGAAAAAGTAATACTTGACCATATTTATTCAAAAACACCAGTAACCTACCTTATACTAAACGTTAACACTTGTCAAGAAAAGAACTGCAAAGGTGCAAGAGCTTCCGAAATTTTCTTACTTACGCAAAGACTATCTCCTTCCTCATCTTCAGATAACTCAGAATCAGATGAAAAGGACACGGTATCTTCTGCAGCACTACATTTGTCTGACCTGAAAAGTATTCATCCCATAAGTCAACAAAATGAAATTTGACAAAAATACGGAAAAAAAAACAAAAAAATTATATTCGTTCCAATTTCAGTTGCCATCTTAAAACTTAACCATGATAAGAACGAGTCACCACTTGCTGTAATACAAGATGCTATCTTTAATATTAATTAAAACATTAACGAATTACACTTGCTTGAAATACAAGATGCTATCTTTTATATTAACAAAACATTGTAAAATCATTCATAAAATGAGCAAGCTATCCTTGGTTGTAACACAATGAAAAAACCAAATGAAAAAACCAAAATGAAAAAACCACAATGAAAAAAAAACAAAATGAAAAAAACAAATGACGAAATGCGAAGAATCCGCAATCGGGCAAGGGAGCGGTGGCCATTAAAAAGAGTCGTTTGGAAAGCGGGTAGAAGCAAAGAATACAGAGAAAAAAAGAGAAAGTGAGCAGATAAAAATAGCCTTTCTGCAAAAATTAAAAACGATGTGGGCGGAAAGAATTTGACTAAATATCACTTACAAGGCATCGTCTTCATCATACCGTTTTCTTTTCTCTGCTTTCAGTTTCATCTCGTTGCATTTCAATTCATCGTAAACTAAAAGCAAGGAAAAATGGCAAATATCCTTAATAAATGTCTCGTTCGACACAAAAGAAATGTCTTTCCCTACAAATTTTCACCCTCAATATCAGATTTCACCACTCTACGAAATATTTTGACCCCCCCCCCCCATTTTAAGCAAAAAAAATCAATAGTACAGTTGAAATGAATTTTTGTGGACAAAGTTTAAACTTCACTCTACACCATCGATAGCTGTACTAGCCGAACAACCATAAAATCCTTATTTCAATAGATTGGCCTACGACAGTATATGGAGCAAACAGTATGACCAGTCCATTGAATTTTTGTATATGATTGCCATAACAACAGCCAGTAATTGCATATTGCAACCAATAGAAACACTGAGATGGCTTACTGCAACCACTAATTTAGTTAAACATACAGCACAAAGTGAGATGGTATTTCTCCATTATACTGTGTCAAAGTTTTTATAAGGGCAAAGCCAATCTTATTTTCACTAGTTTTAAAATTTTTCTCACAACTTTTATAACACAGTATAGTGTATTGTGACAAATAGCCTTCGTGTATTAAGCCAAATAAACTGTACAACTAACTCATTTGAACACTTGTCCTGAAAGGAGCTTTCTTTTTCCTTGAATAATCTCTACAAAAGAGAACGAGTTAAAGGTCAACTTTCTTCTGAAGATCTTGCCTACACCAGGACAAGTGTGATAAATTTGCACATTTTACACAGCAACATGTGACTGTAGGCATTTAGAAGAGGAGGGCGTGGGAGAGAAATGAAAACTTCTCTTACGCATGCTAATGTAGAGAGCCATGATTATTCTAATGACATCTAAATTAATTGAAAACTTTTTGCAGAAATCAGCCTTACGCACCTGTATGTTTTTTGTAAGTAATCGACAGCATCGTCGACTGATGGCTTTCTTTCCCACAGAAAGCCATGTAAAAACTGCAAATCATCATAACAATTCATCAACAAACTATTTCTAAGTGTTGAGTGGGGTGCAAGAGAGGATGTAATACAATACATCTATAGTATGAACACGCTATTTCGTTATTAGTGGCATTAAATTTTGATACAACAGGTGGGCAAGACAAGAGATAGGACACTGTTCTTCTTAAAGTGGCCAACATTATCTCAATATCAACTCATGACTGTACTTGGTGCTTCAAGAATTTCTCAGAATGTAGGAAGTAAATTTCCCTCTTGGTTTGACTATTCATCAGCGATGCACACATTAATTCTCTCAATAGATAAACAACACAGGTAGCTTGTTGATAGGCGACGGTTTCGGTCACAGAATAAATAAGGCATTATGAAGCAGGTCAGCCACTATTCCTCTGTCTCAGTCAAATAAATCATAGCGCGTACAAAACCGAACAAACTGTAAACAAAATACCTCTTTTAATCTGGGAAGCAACAGAACATCACTCGTATACCCTCCTCGACGTCTTGGGGCAAACAAACCTTTTGTCGTGCTCATAGGAGTCCAAGCTCTAAAAGGTTTCGGAGAGCAAGACTTCGCTTTTTGTTTTCTCATTTCCTCCACAGAAATAGTGTTAATGCATGATCATGTTTGTTTATTAAAAGTTCAAAAGCATTAAAGCAACACGAGGTGTAAATGTCACGGGGGTGCAACATGGAGGATGCAGCTTTAGCGGGGGGGGAAGGTTAAATAATACGTCTGGAGGGAGCTTTCGAAATTGTGTACTTTTTTATCATCAAACTTTGTTTAATTTCAGTGTCTTGCATTAAATTTTGTACATGGCAGAAAAATCGATCAACGCATATGACGATCAAAATTTTGAGGTATTTCATCGACCTTTTATGGAATATTTCGAGTGGCAGAAATACAATGTCGTTTTACTTCTAGATTGTGTGTTGTGTTGGCATTTGTAGTCGTTGATGAGGGATTCAGAATTCATAACAATCGATTTTGTTCTGTTTATTTATGACTAAAAAACAAACTTCATAAAAGCGGTTCTGATCCATAGCTCAATCGTGAGCTCAAACTCTAGAACATGTACAAAGATATTTGATTCAATTTTTTTAGATAGATTCAAATGCACTTATATGCAACAAGACTGTTGGAGCATAGCATAACTTTATAGGTCGTTATTATGAAAGAAATATTCTCGAATCGCTGTCCTCTTCCCCCACATAGATTTATGAATGAAATACAGTAAATCTAGAGTTCAATTTTGATAGTTTTACTTGCAGGCTACTCTTCTGACATGAAATATTTTTTTCAATCAGTCGCATAGCCAGCTCACAAGTTTGTTGATGCAATGTAAATGTTTTGATGTTCACTCATGTGAACTGTTAAAACAAGAGATTTCTAAAGAGATGAATTTTTCTAATGAGAAATTTACATGGCGGGACCAAATTTGCAGGCTGGCTACATGCACCACTGTTTTCAATGCATAATTTTTCAAGATATTTTTCTACAAAAATATGCTTGAGAATGTATCCACTTCTTGCTGTATATTTCATGAATGCTAGGTTGAGAAGATCCTAGCAAGACGGAAGAGAGAGAGAAAGGTTGAATACCTGATAAAATGGAAGGGTTTTTCATCAGAAGAAAATTCATGGGAACCAGAGGAAAACATGAATGAATGCCAAGAACTTGTTAGACAATTTCAAAAAAGGGAAAAAGAAATGAATCGCATGAAGGCAAGAAGTCGAGTACAGTAAAATTTAAATTTTTTTTTAATTCAAAGTATTGTTTGTTCTTCACTCCAAATATACAAAATATAGTCTCCCGATGGCTGTGTCAGGGATAAGAAGAGGTGGCATGGATAAGAGGAGGTGGCAGGGATAAGAGGAGGTGGCATGGATGGGACATTGAGACACATACAACTGTGAGGCGACATGACTGTATAAGGGATGAGAGGTAGAGACAGGATGGCAGAGGGAGACACATGAATAACTGTACCAGTGATAAGAGATGAAAGTAGGGATGGGAGAGGGAGGCACCAACATCCACAAAGCTAGATGACTATCACGATATGGGAGTTGTTGCTACTTTTTGATAGGAATGGTAGAAAGAGGCACCTACAATTAAGAAGCCATATGAATCTATGAAATAATAAATGGGGTGGGTGAGGGAAGCCCCCATGACTGCCAATCTGGATGACTGTCAAGAACGACAGCGTAGAGGTGACTCTTACGACCTTAGTCTCACTCACGGTAGCTACTTGATATTTCTTTGCTTATTCAGTGGGAGAATGCTTTCAACTGATATGGTTGTATGATGGGCGGAAAAGCCCGATAAATCTCTTCATTTACTTGCGATGAAAAACGGTCTGTCTTCCCTTAGAGAGGTCGCGCTAATGGTTTTTATACCGAAGAAGAAAGCCCGTCAAAATCATCTGATTCAACGTCGAAAGGTGCAGAAGAATATCAGATATTGCATCGAGTCCATCCACCACCGTCATCAGAAAATTCAGGTAGTTTGCGTTTGATGGCCGTCTTGCCTTGTTCTGTCTTTTTGTTACTTTACAATTACTATTAATAAAACTGTGTCATTACTTCATTTTGTAGCTGAAATGTCGAGGCACAAGGAATCGAAATTTATCCATCGAGAAGAAAAGGAAGCGCACCAAAACAAAGAGAAGAACGAAGTTGTTTTGAAAAGAAAGACAACACATTTGAGAGTCCTAGCGGTTGTTGTCCTTTTCTGTCTGATTATTTTCGCGCTTGTAGCACCGGTCGGGTCGTCCATTGACGTTTGAGTATTAAAAAATAAGATGCTTTACTAGATAACAAGAATACATGGCGGTTGGAATCAACTATCAACTTACCTGCCAAAAATTTGATGTTTCGAATGACATGTGTATGTGGACGTCAAATTTCTTTCCGACTTTCTGGTCATGCTTTCAGCCGTTTGTACGGTCGTTTGCAGAAGATTTACTCAAAACTTATCTGCTACCATCTTAGATCGGTCGAATTGAAATACATATAAGTCAGTTGTGAGATTGAACGATCTTGCGAATAGAACCATTTGCAATTTATTTTGACTTTCGCTTTAGAACTTGTGGATCGAGCTTTACGTGCATCACGCTAAGTTGCTGAAACGTGTTTCGAAATCACGATTTTGAACAACTCTCATGTTTTTAGCTATACGTATGGGTTTTATTTAGATAAGGTTAAAGGGAGCTTTTATGGTATTATGTGTATACTTTACCCAAATATTGTAATTATTGATTTTATTTAAGGAATTGTTGCAATTTTCCATTACGTGTCATTAATGTTTCTACAAGGTGATGTTTTGTAAAAGGATCGTTTAGTTTGTTTCGAAACGTGCCTTTATTCAAAGAAATATTTGAGCTATCGCGAATGTCAAGTTTTCATTTCACAGCTGAAACAATACGTGATCCAATTTTAAAATTTATCATGACTTACAACTTACAATTGATGGAATTTGCAATCTGTTGACTTGATGCCATATTTACTAATGTCATTTTGTTCAATCTTAAAAGCATTCGATTTTCCCAAAGCTTAACGTCAAATCCAAATGATGGCGAATGCCCTTCTTGTAATTCCGAATTTGATTTTTGAAGTTTCAGCTACAATAGGTTCGAAGAAGTATTTTGAAATTATACTACGAGATTTCGTCAACTTCTACAGCTTATTCAGGACTTACTTCGTCGGTTTTGATTCGATGTTACTTAAAAGCGATGGTAAAATATCCGAGTCGCTTGATGAGGATTCCGAATCGCTAGAGTCTGAGTAGTCACCAAGACTCGCTATGAAGCCAAGGTTGTAGGCAACCGAACCATTTTCGTCTTTTTCTTGCGCCTTTTTCGCAGTTTGTGGAAAGTGTTTAGTCTCTGTATCAGAGTTTTTGCATTCCGAGGTCTTTTCAAAATTTTCCTCGTTTTGTGACGATTTTTCGACAGCTGACTCTTTGATATTGAAATGTGAAATAAAAAAAAAAATATGAGAAGAGTCGAAAGAAAATTAAGTTCGGGAAAAGAAAATACTTAACATGTTCTTTTCATTCGAACTCACGTGAATGTGGATATTTTTTGAAAATAACAGTTGTTCTTAACGTGAAAAACTTGCACAAAATAAACGCAAAATAAAAACGTCAAAGCGATGTGAATACAAAACGAAGATTACAAACCTTAACTATGTAGGCAAATATATGAAAAAGAACTTTTCGTCGGAAAGGTTGCAAGCAGAGAGGGCAACAAATAACTCATCTCCAATGGCGAATTCGGCCTCATTTCGTGTACACTCGTGTCATGAAAATGTATTATTTTATTCACTAGAAAACCGTAAAATACATATGAAACAGTATCAAATACCTTTTTTGGAGAAGTTTTGATCGTCAGATTTTTCGTCCTCGCTCGTCTCCACATCACTCCTGCATAAAGTAAGAGCGTTTGTCCGTTCACCATGTTTCCGGTAAGTTTGCTCATGCGAGGAACCAACCCCCCTGATTTCATTAAGATTGCCTTCATTTCCGGAGGTACATCTCACTTATGAAACATGAATAGAGAAAATTGAACCTAGACAAATGATAAATCTTAATCCCTCACCTGGAGGCATTCGGCTCCCATAAATGATAACATGTCCCCCCTGCACATCTAGGGTATTTGCTGGAAACCAGGGGGGTGGCCAATTCAAAGTATCGCAAGGTATCAACATGACTTTCTAAACACGTGATCTTACCGCCGTCGTTTAATGCAGCCAGCCAATAGTTCCAACTGTGATTTCTTCTTTCCCAATAAAGCATTGGAGGCTTTCTTTTTTTCTTTTCCCACAGCAGCTGGGGTTGAGACGGCTACAGTCATATTAAACTTTGCAACTTCATCCTGGTTGTTGGCAATTAAAGAATGGATAAACTGACTGATCGAGAATAAAAAGACTGCGTAGCTTTAACAAACTGTTCCAATAAAGTGAATACACCAAATGTTATACTAAAATCCAAGGCCGATTAAACAATGTATGTGTAGTCAATTCATAATGATTTTTTTAAAGTAAAATAAATTCTTAATGGGAAAAAGCATTTTTCCTTGTGGATTTTTGAAATTTAGTGTATTATAAGTTAAGTGGCTACCTAGTTGAACTAAAGTTCACAGGTTAAAGTATCTTTGCACTGCAATAATCAATAAAGTGCATGCATAGTTTCTTCAAAGGATACTCTGTAGTCTTTAATCTCTGGAGTGAGAGCAAAACGTCTGCGGTCAACTTCTGCCTGTTGCTTGGAAGCAAACTCGAGAAGACAGCCGTCATTATCGATCCCGCGGAACATTTTTTCTTAACAATTTTACAAGAAAAAAGTACTTTAAGTCTGCGCTTTCTTTAGTCAGGAATTTCAATCATCCGGAAATCATATGATCAACTAGGTACAGATTGCTTGATACAAAACTGAACAATATCAGAGAAATGCAAATTTGAGCATTGGCACTGAACCCACTTATACAGCTGTCTACTAGTTGGAGTTATGTAACTTTAATGAACTCAAATGGACCTCTATTGTCAGTAAAAAAACACCAAAAAAATTATCAACCTCCATGGGGTGAAATAAACTAATCTTTGAATATTTTGAAATAGTGCCAAGTCCGGGAAAAATTGACAGGAGGGTGCAGGGGGGAGGGGGTACACACCTAAAGCTTGCATAAGTTGACTCATATTTTGATAGCTCATAAATGAAAGTCTTATGGTATAATGACATTTAAAAAACACAACCCTCCCTGGATGAAATTCACCTCTCCAAGCTATTCAATGTATAAATCTATTCAGATTTCGACAACCATCAACAAGCAGGGATAGGATTGACCAAGTAAATAACTGGCTGGTAGGCAATGAAAATGCTTTTGAAAACTGAATCAAAAAGTTGTTTCTTACTGATGTCATATTTCTCGTCATGCTCTTGTTGTGCCTTTTCTTTCTGGGCCTGAAGCTGTTCAAATAAACTTTTTGGTTGCACATCTGGACATTCTGGATGAAGTAAACAGTAAAAGTTGAAAACAAATGTTGATAAATTCGAGGATCTTGAGAAAATTACGTATGATTATCCACCGTTAAATATTTGAGGTTTATTCAGTTCCTGTAGACCTTAGTACATACAAGAAGCAGAATATAAACATGTACCTAAAGGGTCATCGGGCTTTCTGACTCTTTCCCATTCCTTTTGACGTTTCTCCTTGGCGTCCTGGGCTTCCTCCTCGGTAACAAACGACTTAATTTTTGAATTATTTGTCTTTTTGAAGCTCATAATGATTATTCGTTGATTTCATTCGTTCCTTGGGATCATTTTGAAGTAGAAGAGCAGCATTTATCTGCTTTAATGTCAAAATCACTAGTCAAATTTGGTCAAAATCAATCGCTGGTATTGTCATCCACCATACAAGCATTGAGCAAACCGCTGATTAAGATTAGCGTGGGCTCACAAACAAATGGCTGACAAGATTCTTCTTCGTGCTTATAAGGGTCAGGCAAAGTCTGTAAACTTAAGCAACAGAAATCTACCAAGTGTGCCAAATCTTATAGGTAAACTTTCGAAAGTAAAAGTATTGACCTAAAAAACAACAAGATTTGTTCTTTGCCCAAAGATTTTAGCGTGATTACGCAGGTAATTTATTAAACTTTGTTGCTAAGTTACATCAGACGCTTAGGTATAAAAAATGGAATACTTTTCAAAATATTTATGGAGGAATTGACTGCAGTCAAGGAAGAACCAATTATCTACACGTAGGGCATTATTGATAAAAGAAAGATTCAAAATATCCACTGCAACTTGCAGAATAAGTATATGTTTTAAATGTCATGCGGATTTTTTTGTAGTCTTATTAAATGTTTGTGGATCATGACAGACAAGAAGAACTTTGAAGAGAGGCTAATTTTATGGCTGTTAATGATTGAGATAAATCTCTGGAAAAAGTATTCATTTTTGGAAAAAATTGCTTTCTATCATCTAAACGGAGCAGGCGAAGAAAGAAGCTTGCTCTTAAATGCATGCTTTAATCAGTGTTTGATTGTATTAAATCCTGTATCTTCGCATTGTATACATATGACAATATTTCAGTCAGGAAAGAAAATTTATTTGAGTGCTTTCATAAATAGTGAGTCTGACGTTTTTCTTACGGAAAAAAAATGGAAATGTCTGCAGAATTGGGTGCATAATATGACTATACCACAAGGATGACTAAGTGCATATGAAAACATTATAAAATGTTTCTTTGCTCATTCCCTTGCTGGGATTCTCCTACACGCTTATGTCACCCAAACTCCATTGTAAACAAGCCCTTGAAAAGGTAGATTTGATTATTTGAAAGCAATGTTTACAAACAAGCTAAAATGCTGATGTCAGTCGACATACCGCCTCTTAAAAAAGAACATAATTGAGAAAGTTGAAATACTAGTGACTGACGCATTGATCGACATCACGTGATCTAATCTTCGTACCTTCCAGCTGGAGAACTTGAATCTTGGCAACAACATTTTGGAAGAGCTGCCGGCAGAATTGGGCCATTTGGTCAATCTAAAAAAACTCCATTTGTTCGCAAATCACATCATCATCCTCTCTTCCTTCGTACTGTGTAAGTGTATCCGTATCGAGACTAATTTACTCCAACTTATTAACATCATTTTCACTGCTTCAACTATGTCAAAAAAACATATAGTTCTTGTGGTTTAGATAATGTGTTAGACACTTTAATTGAAGTTAGATTTTCATATATTGATAGCCGCCTTGCAGCATCTGACATTTCTAAACCTCAACGACAACAAATTGACAAGTTTGCCTCCGGAAATCGAAAGGTACTAGCGAGATTTGCAGATCAATGTCCAGAGAGCAAAACTTGTCAACATCTTGTCTTCTTTTCAGGCTGGTATCCCTGCAATTTTTGAGCGCGAACAAGAATAGACTGCAAAGTATCCCGGATGAGATTTGTCATCTAACCCACTTGACCGAGCTTCACCTGGCAGATAACTTCCTTGAAAGGTATTGTCTCCGTCAAAAGCAGAAGGCGTAGAGTGGCAAAACAGGATAAAATCGTTAAAAGTTTAAAGATAAATGGGCATTGTGAATTTCTAACAGCTCACTCGAATACATATCTGCTTTTCAGTTTACCAGAAAATATCGGATTTCTGAAAACCTGACACGTTTGATTTTGTACAAGAATCGACTAACTGAGCTACCACAGGTAAACGCGGTTATTTATTTAAGCACGCAACAAGATACTCTATTCAAGATGATGTATTTCATGGACGTTTTTTCATTCCGTTTTTTTTAAACTATCCATTTTATAACCCTAAGGACCGTATTTTATTTCCTTGCAGGGCTTGTCAAAATGTTGTAAATTAGAATACCTCGATGTCTCTTGCAATTTCATCAAATACTTTCCGGTCAACGTGAGTGACGAGAGAGTGCAGTAATACGCATGCGTCGTAGCAAAGTTTACAAGTAGCTATTTGATTGAAGCATTGAACTCAAATACATGGAACGCAACCTCAAGCAAATAATTGAAGCCATATCTTACGCCAGACATGCGAGATTTTACCCCAGACACGCGTGTTTAGTGTTTGATTGACTTCACACGCGTGTCTGGGGTAAAATCACGGCTTCAAAAAATTATTAGGATTTTATATAAGAGGTAGCTTTCCATGTATTTTAGTTCAATAAATTAAACTGACGTTTTGATGAGCGTCGACGGTTGTTGGCTGTGCCGTATAGCCAACCAGCCCGTACGTTTGTTCGTGCTATGTAAATTTCAGAACAATATGATTTATTTTTTATAATCTATTTTAATTTACTTTTTTTAAGTAAGATTACATAGCATGATGAACAAACTTGCTGGTTGCCTGCGTCACCATATGTTCTACGTTCAACCTACGTCAGTATATGTTCTACGTTCAACCTACGTCATCATATGTTCAACATTCAACCTACGTCAACCATATGTTCTACGTTCTACGTAACCAACCCATGTTCCATCATCAACCATAAGAAGAGAATCCATGGTTGAAGAAAGATTGAAAACTTTCTTCTTTCTTCTAGTTTTATGCTTTGCCTTTACGAGAGCTTTATTGCGAAGGAAATAATCTATTGAAGCATCTTCCCCTTCATTCTGAACAAGTTGAAGAGGTCTTGTCGCTCAAAGAGTTGACGGCGCGTTTTGTAATGAAGAAGAACAGAGATAAGTAAGCTCGAAATATTCCTTCGGAGCGTACAGAGATAAGGTGTTGGGTAAAGTAATAAATTTGGTAATGCAGACAAAGTAGATACACCTCTTTAAGGCGAATTTCTTTGTAGCCAATTGTTTCGATCAAATTTTACTTCTCTCAGCCCGCAGTGACGTAGCCAGCCCGCATGTTTTAGTCTTGCTATGTAAGTGAATACAAAAAAATTGCATAGCAGGCTAAGCAAGGTCGCTATGCCAGTGATATTCGCCATGCCGCTAACAAGCAATTTTTAAACTTTTACGGGGCAAAGTACAGATAATTTTGTTGTTCACATTTTGTCTTACCTATCGTAGACGATCCCATATTCGTGTGCAACTTCGCGAATGTCCCGAAATAAAAGATATGCTTTCCTTTGCCGGGGATTGTGCCTTGTGTGGTGAATCGTTTCTTAACACATGGTTGGAATGCGTCAGTTTTATTGATTGTAAAAAGGTATTCATTCACTAATGTTCATTGTTCATAACACCAAGTATAGATCATTTTCAAAAAGTCACCTGACTTTATGGCCGCCATGTTCGTGCACCAATTATAAAGAATTTTAATGAAGTTCTTTGGTTTGGTACACCAATACATCCACTTCATGTTGAACCCAGAGGAATGAGCAAAATAATCTATATCGGAGTTGAAATGACATAGTTGATTTATGGACCACGCCTCGGCCTTGCAGTAGTTGCATTTAACGTTTGCGCATGTGCAACTTTATTTTGACAATGAGAACCTCAATTTTAGTATATGCTATTTCTGGGGCTTACTCAAGTGTGATCAACTCAACAGGGTCTGGGGACAAGGAACTCACCGAATCGTACCCATCAGAGGCCAGCTGTGTTCGTACAAGTGCTTCAATTCTGAAGGCCATGATTATTTTGGCATAGCACAAGTGGATGGTGGACAATGAATGATAGTCATGGACAATCCGATGATGTATGGTAAGTATTGTGAGAAAGACAGGAACATTAAAAATGAAAAAAGTTCAGGAAGAACTACATGAACCATTGGAATGCTAGTTACCACTTCTATTACATTAATTACTTGAATCGCTGAAAAATTATTCAGCAGCTTTGAAGCAAATCTTATAGCTCAACATTAGCTGCCATGCAAATTTTTCCAAGTTAAATTAGTGTGGAAACAATAAATTTACTTAGTATGATCAAAACTTGCAGTCTGGCAGTGCTACCCTAGTTTAACACAAGGCCGATTCTTAAATGTTTTAGATAAAATCAATATCTCCACCTAAACAGTAAACATGGAAGCTTTGAAAAGGAAGAGCACAGATTTTGTCTCAGAATATAAATAAGGAAGAGGAACTTAAGCTGAATGAAGTCATTTCAGTCAGTCCTATGGATCTTTTAGGCTTTCAAGACATTATCAATGAGACATTAATATACAAATGTACGTGTATACGATGATAAGCAGTGATTTACTGTCAATAATGACCTAAAATGATCCAAGTATGTTAATAATTGAGGAACTATTTACGTCACGTAGATCTTTTCTGGAATCATCTAATTGGTGTGAACCTTATTTAAACATCAAAATATGACGCCATGTAATCCCTTCAATTGTGCACGTACGTATACACTGTGTTTGTTTGAATTCACAGCAGTAAGGAGACCTTACAAAGGCTCTTATATTTCTGTAAATGCTTCGGTATCTTTACGACTCATTCCGTGTAATTTGCTCTCTAATTCTTTTATTTTGATGTCCTTGTCCAATAACATATCTTGTTGTTCCTTCATTTTACGACGAAGTTCGTTCTTCTCCCGTTCTGAGTCGTTCAAAATCCTTTCATAGTGGTTTTTGCACACCGTGACTTGCCCACGAAGGATGGCATCCCTTTCCGTTTCCCTTCTATCGCATATTTCTTTCAACTTGCGATACCTTTCCTCTTCGTTGTGGATAACCTGCTGTAGGTCATTCAACACGACGGAGCTTACGTTTTTAACGAGTTTGGAGATACGGCGATTGTTGTTCAAGTCTTGCCTGGAATTGTCACAATTACCAGACATGTCGTTCTCATTGTTTTGATATTTCTTCAGCCTTTCCCGCATTTTAGCGGCAAGAACTCGAGCATTGTCCCTCTCATTTTCTAAACATCTCATCTGCTCTAATAAAGACATGATCAGCGATTCCGAGCTGACAAAA